CAAGGCTCGTCTCAACATTGAAGGAAGCTTCGACATCTATCCATGGTCCTTCAAACATGCCTCATTCCTGATCAATCGGTTCCGAGTACTGGATGGAAGCAACAGGGCAAGCTTTGAGTTGGCAACCGGACACCCATACGGAAAGTTAGCCCTGTTCGGAGAACGTGTGCTGTTCAAGCGTGCTGTCAGAAACAAAGGAAGTGCAGTGTTTGAGAAGGGAGTCTGGGTGACCAAGCATCCTTGGAATGACAACCATGTGGTTCTTTCCGCAACTGGAGCCTATGAGGCGAGTATTCTGATGAAGCATGCCGGACAGGCGCAACGGTATCGCCAGCCGACCTTGGAGATGGAAGCTAGCGAGGAGTTGGCAGCGATCGCACAAGATGTGGCCACAGGTGTAGTAACACCAGCACCTGGACGCCAACCTATGACACCAGGGATCACACTGACATCAAGTGGCCCATCTACAACAGCAGCGCCAAAGACACCGACAAATGCACCAATGAAGAGGCAGCTGTCTGAGGAGGAGAAGAGTGAAGGAGAGAGAGAGAGAGAGCAAGAAGGTGGATGCATCAGAATCGCCAAGAAAGCATGCAGAGAAAAGACAAGGAGAAGCAGTGGAAGAGAGTGGCGAGAAGAAAGGACGAGTTGAAGGAGGAGGACAAGAAGAAGGAGGTGAGATGATGACAGAGGCAGAAGCGTCACCAAGGATGTCTCCAACGCGCAACATGGGCCATCTCCATCCGCCACACTATGCAGGGATAGATGCAATTGCAGTCGAGCCGCGTGGAGATGAAGACGTGGACATGCAGCTGATGCCGGACGAGATCCTTGAGGAGCAGTGGATGAGCTATGGAGGGGAAGAAGGAGACGACCCCCCAGAAGTAACAGAAGAAGAATTGGAACTGCTCGACAAAGAGGCACGAAACACAGAAACCCAAAGGATGTTGGAATTGCCAGCGATGCTGGAGACAGATCGAGCAGAGGTCGAGCAGACCGAGGGCTACATCATCAGCGCGAAGATGGTCATGTGCTGGAAGCACCGCCTCGAAAGAGGTGGATGGTTTCGAAGAGCTCGACTGGTGGCCCGGCAGTTCAGAAACAACATAGATCTTGAGGCCACATTCGCGCCCACATCGATGATGATGCTGCCCAAGATGTTACTTCACTATCTACTCAATGTGAGGAGTGAATTTGTGGTGGTCACTTTGGACATCAAGGACGCCTTCCGCATGGCGGCGCAACCAGCGGCTGAGAATGCCTATGTGCAGATTGATGACCGCATCTACAAACTCCTCAGATGCCTCCCAGGACAGAGAACGGCTGCATCACAATGGTTCAGTTTGTTCGCATCGGCTTGCAGGGACTTCGGAATGGAGCAAGATCTTGCGCAGCCCACGTTGATGCTACTGCCCAACATTCTGTACCTCACGGTACACGTGGACGACGTGTTCATGGTTGGGCGGGAAGACAAGGTGAGAGAGCTGATACAGTACTTCAAGGAGGAGAAGCAGTGGAACGTGGAAGAGAAGGGCCCATTTCGACAGGGAGACAAGTTCTTCTACTTGAAGAGACAATTCAACCTGGGCCGAAGATGTTGTGACATCAGATGCGATCGAAAGCAATATGACAGCTTCGAGAAAGATGTTGATATCTACTCCAAGTTCTACAGAAAGACCCCCTTGGACGGCAACTTCATGAAGAAAGATGACTCCGAGGTCTTTGAGGGAGCTGAAGTTACAAGATACAGGAGCATTGTGGGACGGCTCATGTACATGGCCGGTGAACGCCCTGACGCGCAGTACGCCATCCAATGTCTTGCCCGACACATGGCAAAACCCACAAAGCACGCCCTGAAGAACGCCTGGCACACGTGTTCCTATCTATTTGGAACAAGTGGATATGGAGTAAGGCTTGAGGAACGCAAGAGAGGCCAGTCGATGATGGACTTCAGAGAAAGCGAGGAGGTTGAGGATGCAGAGGAGCACCTGGTAGAGATCGTCACAGACTCTGACCACGCAGGAAACAAGAATGATCGCAAATCAACATCCTCCATGCAAGTGTTCATCGATGGAAACCTCATCGACAGCAAGGTCAGGAGCCAAAAGGCCATCGCCTTATCCTCGGGCGAAAGCGAGTTCATGGCACTGGTGGCTGGGTGCTCAGAGGGCATGCTTGTCAGGCACCTGTGGAACCAAATCACAGGAGGAGCACGCAAGATGAGGGCAAGGTCCGACAGCTCAGCAGGTAGAGGGATGACCCAAAGGCAAGGGATTGGCCGTGTAAGGCATTTGGACGCCTCCATGTTGTGGATACAACAAAAGGAGCGCGAGAAGGTCCTCTCAGTGGCACCGATCCCAACAGACCTCAACAGCGCCGACATTGGCGCCAAGAACTTGCCGAAGAAACGACTTCGAGGTCTACAGTACATGCTCCACATGGTGGCCTCGATGGGTGACCGCGTGGGAGAGCCGGAGTTCCGAGAGATTGAAAAGGAGCACCAACTCAAGCAAGGGATGAAGAAGTTTTGCAAGAGCAAAGATCTCAGGATTGGGCTCCTTATGCTGCTGACCACGATCAACAAAGTCGGCAGCGCCTCGACGGAAGTGAAGGAGAAGGATGAAATAGATTGGACATGGATGATGCTATGCAGCCTAGCTTGCATCGGGGCCTTGAGCCTAGTCAGTTGGCTTCGGAGCTACATCGCTGAGTTCCTCGATGGCACGAAGGCCTTCATCAAAGAGAATGTGGAGGCCATGGTGCAGATCAGGAAGCTGGACATGAAGGTACAGATTGAGAGGGTGGACCAAGAAACCCAAGTCTCTGTACCCGATGCCCGCCGTGAAAGTGAGTTGGAAGAAGTACGGCGTCAATGCTTCCTGAAGGATCTCTACATAGAGGAACTTGAACAAGGTTTGAAGAAGATGAAAGCGCATGTAGCTGAATTTTTGCAAGAGCGAGAAATCGCTGAGAAGCACAGCTCCAAACTTGAGGAGCGCATGCATCGGCTGAAAATGACATCAGCCGGAAAGGTCCTGCATTTTGCAGGAGGCTGCCCGGTTTGCAGGCAGGGCCAGCCCATTAGGTTGTGTCACGTATGCCTAGGTGAAGGAGGAGTGACAGATTCCAGTACAAGCATGTAAGACAGTCACCTAGGCATGCTGACAGGTTTACGCACGACGGCCGCATAGGCCCAAGATCAGCGATCAAAAGCTGCGCCCGCGCCTTTTCAAAAATCAAAATACAATTATAAGGAAACTTCACAAAAACACGTTAAACTGAACAAACAACATCAAAAGGACATTTAAAAATGATAAAGGACACCTAAAAGGAAATTGACAAGGACATTTCAAAGGAAGTCTAAGCAGGACATTTCCATTGAACAGAGAGATTAAAAATAGATTTAGCAACAGTACAAGGGCATGTAAAAGGACTTGTTAAATTAACCATCATTCAAACCTAATTGAACATCAATTCGAGTTTACAACAAAAACAATAAAAGTACAGAAGACTAAGGCAAAGCAATAGATCAAGACTAGTTGAAAACCACATAGAAGTATATAACTAAAAACAAAAGCAACATACAAAAGACTAAAGACCACCAAATATCACACCAAAACAAGTGATTAAACCTGATTGAGAACCAACTAGAATTAATTAGAAACTCTTTAAGAGTACAGAGAGTACAGAAGACTGGAGCCATCCCACTAAAAAACAAAAATATACACGTAAAAATCCGCAATCCCTGCTTGCATCCACTGAACCTCACAATGACCTCGATTACCAGGCCATATGAATGAATTCACAATTCCAGACGCAATCTGAACATTTGGATGAATGCATTTGCATTGGCGCGCAGTTGCATTAGCTGGTTCAATTCTAAATATTCCACAGGCAACCGTGCAGAATTTCCTGTTGAGCCCTAGAGGCCTAAGACAAAAGGACATACTGAAAAGTCCTTGTCAAGCTCTCCAGCGTTTTCACTAACTAACGGTTTCAAGTTGCAACAGCACAGCGTGGAAAATTGGAGGCTTTCTGGGAAAACGAAAAGCATACAGGAAGTTCTGGAGAGGGATCAGTGATTATCAAAAGTGATGTTTCAGAATGTTTGAGAGCAAGATTGCATTTCCTCAAACCACATATCACTGCACCACTTGACCACATTGCACTTCACCGCATCAAACATCATCGCCACCACTTCACCACATTGCACTTCATCACACCACTAGAGGTTCGAACACTCTAGCTTTGTTTGTGTTTGGTTTTCTGGCTCCGCCCTGACTCTTCGAGTACCTCCTTTGCTGCTTTGCAAAAGGGTTGGAACAAGGCCGGACCTGTTGCTGGAGCATGCCTCTCATTCACCTCTTTTTCATTCTGATTGGTGCAGGTTACTCCGGATTTCAGCCAAACATGTCAACCCAACCCGCGCTTGGCAACCTCCTTGCCATGCTGATGGGCTGAAAGCCCCTACGGTTCCCTTGTTGGGATGGCAGCGTAACAGTCGCTCGTGAATGGCGTGCCGAAACGTCGAAAAAGGTCACCACAAATCCCCTGCATTACATTGTTCCACCCACCACTTCAACTATGACGCTTCATCCAGTCACCACTCATTATGTTGCGCTTCACCACATCAAGCATCACAAGGTGCCACATCACTAAATGACACCTCATTGCATCACAAACCACCATCTTGCACTGCAGCGCATCGCAAATCATCACAAGAACATCACTGTGACTGGATTTGTCAAGTTCCTTCATGAAGCTTCACTCCATCCACCTCGTAGCTTAATTTGTAGGCCATGTTTGGATAGCGTAATGATTTGTGCGATGGAAGTTGGGCTGTGCAAACAATGATGTGCAAATTGACGCAAGCTACCAACTGCTTCATCCCCCAGCCCTGTACAAAGATGGCCTGAAGAGGGTCCATAATCATTTGTTTTCGCACAGTACATTGCGCCATGTGCAGCATATGCCTGCTTCCAATCTTTGCTTTGCCTGAGGACTGGCTACATTATTGCGTCTCCTTTGCTACAGGTGCGGAGCTGTGTGCCCCTGTGCGTTCAAGCTGGACACCATGCCATCACAGATAGCAGCAAAATGAACGATCCACAGACAGGTCAAGACTCAAATGCAAGCTGAAGCGGGAAAGATCGGGCCAGTCGGTGGCTAAGACTTGGACAGCGCACTAATCACCAATACGTTCAGCACGATGTTAATGTCTTTCGAGGACGGATTGTATGTCACTGGTCTACTTTGTGGGCGTGCTCCGACATACCAAAGCACCTCCAAGGCTTACTTGCTAAACGGCCATGTTTCAGCTGTCCTAGTTCCTAGCATGTCTCATCACTCTTTCGAAGCTGGTAGGCGCTGAGATCGCTGGTGGCTTCAAGTCCAGGCCATCTCTTTGCGTTTTTGTCTTTTCAGATCGCGGGGTGTCTCTCAGCAGTCTCTTTCTGGTTTGAAACTTAGGGTTTCCGTCTCAAGTTTTGTACGGCTCTTGGTCGAGGGCCGTTGCATGCAATCCAGACCTTGTGGCGTGGTGCTGGTGTGGCAAGGTGCTAAGATCTTCTAACAGTCAGCTTGTAGCGTTCTTGAGGAGTTTTTCACATGCACTTCTGTTCGATGTTTTTTTGAGTTCTTGAAAAGGAAAGGGTGCTGTTTGAAATGCCTTGTTTGAACCATTCACATTGTGGTGCTCAGATTGTAGCTCGTGGTTCTACCTTGTCTGCCTCTCAACTGATGGCGTCTGTTTCTCAGCACACAAGTTAAATTATCACTTGCAGTTTGAAAGCGGAATGCACACAGCAAGGTATGATCAGTCGAAGACGAAGCTCAAATCGTCCCTGCCTGATGGTCCGATCCTCATCCATCACAAGTTTTGCGTTTAAACTGCAGCCTGGTTTCAACACCAATTCTTGAAAAGGAATATATAACTGCCAGCCTGGCATCTCAGGCTTTCTTCTCATGCATGCATGGCCACAACATTTCCTGAAGATTAACTTTGCTGGGTCATTCGTCTCGGACATGGGAAACTCACCACCCCGATATGGTTACTCACCAGAAATCCCCCGTCCCTTTCCGGGAGCATTGTCATTATTCTGGCTGTCCTTCAAATGCTTTTGTACACCGGCGCTACACACCCGTTCACTGTTTGTGGGATTTGAAAAGAGTGACTAACGACACTGTGAGCAGATGTATCCTGTCTCATCTTGCCCAGGCCGGAGCACCTTGTAAGCCATAGAATGTGATAGTGTGAATCAACATGTGGCAGCAGCTACTACAAGATGTAAGGAGCATGCCTTGATAGAAGTGTGTCCAGCAGACAAACCCTTTTCAATCACGCTATGAATTGGCTGCATTTTGGCTCAGTCGCAAGCAGGCATGTGCAAAGGCACAAACGCCACAATGCTGAGATAAGTTTTAGCCAAGCATGTAATGGGCGCCGTAGTGGAAGACTCAGCCAGTGAGCATGAAGATTCAGACTTGCCGTGCAACATTTCATTGGAGGAGGGTCTTGGAGGGTGCGAATGTGAAGTGTTCAACAGTGCTGACGTGTTTTGAAAGATCCCAAGCAGGAATTTGGGTCACGCATGTCAGAGCAGCCAATGCCTCAGCGAATTCAACGGAGTCTTGGTTGGCAGGCCTTTTCATGATTGAAGGCTCAAAGCCAGCGAGCAAGAATTTGACTACAAATTGAGGAACAAGCTTGTGTCAGTGAAGGGGATCCCACGTGCACCCCGAATGCCCTGAGGAACGGCGCGTGGATTGATGTTTGGCCGGAGCATTGGGGCATGACGATGCGGCAGATTCGAGAGCTGATGGATGATTGCAAGGAGTTGCTACGAAGTTGTCGTGTGCAGACAGACAGAGAGAGAGAGAGAGAAGGATAACAACATAAGACAGAGATGTGAGCGCAGATGCAGAGACAGATTTATTTGCAGGAGGATGTCGACTGGCATCAGAGTAATTCTGTGCGCGACATGGTGAGAAATCACATTTTGCCACGTACAGCTGGCAAGGGTGTCGGCAGCTGGTCTCAAGTCGTTCATGTTTGGGGTGGCAGACCTTGCTTTGAACACCAGCATGTCCAAACAACTGCTTAGGTTATGCTCTCAAGATCAACCACCAATCTCCCTTAGAAGTGGAGGTGCTTGTATCACACTCATGGAACGAGAACGCAGAGGAGCTGGATTTTTGCAAAGCAGCCAATGATTCTTTTGTCATGGCGGAGTAGGTTTCGGACAAGGTTCAGGAGCAGGTTCTGAAGCGGGTTTCGGAGTAGGTTTCATCGGTCCTTCCCTCCACCCCTCCGTTCACTTTTTTACATTGGTCACTGCCCGTCCACCTCCGTCTATGGATTTGTGCGCCAGAACGTGGAGGTGATGCAAGATGTGAGGGGCTTTGCGCTTTCTCTGGCAAGAGCATGGATTGCGATCAGACAGCGGCACACTAGGAGTGGGAGTCCATCCTTGACACTCTTCTGGAGCACAACACGTCGTGCACCTCCCGTGCCGCCTACGCCCCGTTGTCAAGCAGACCTCTTGCGCACCCCTTTCCACGTTCCATTTGATGATGCAAGCAAGCATCCAGCTTGAACTTTCATGGTGTGGATCTACTCACCCAGGAACATGGGTGATTTGCACTTCAGATTAGGTCACACGGGTCGATTCTATAGTATCGAGGAGGGGTTCTTTTCTGGAATGGAGATGAAAGGAGATAAAGAAGGGATATTTTCTCCAGATAGCTGCAGGCTATAGGGGTTCTAACTTCTCCATGATGTGGCTTTGGATCGGCGTTTTGGTTTTGCTGATGACGGTGCAGGTGCTGGCTGTGGGTCGGCGTTTTGTTTTGCCGGTGCTGGTGCTGCAGGCGCTGGCTTTGCATCCGCGTTTTGGTTTTGCGGGTGCTGCTGCCGTGCTGGTGCTGGTGCAGGCGCAGGTGCTGGCCGTGGATCGGAGTTTTGGTTTTGCGGGTGCTGTTGCCTGCTGGTGCTGGCTCTGGATCGGCGTTTCGTTTTGCGGGTGCTGCTGCAGTGCTGGTGCTGGCGCTGGTCCAGGGATGATGACATCGTCATGTCATTCCCAGAATGACATCATGTCATGCGAGGGATGACATCATGTCATGCCAGGGACGACGTCAAGATCCCAAAAGAAATCCTTGTCCTTAGTCCTAGTTGGCACCTTCGGCGCGCCACCGCCAGTGCTAACACCAAGCAACACGCTGGCCCCTGGCTTGCTATGGGTGTTACAGACAGGTCACTACAAGACCCGCTGCTTATAGTCTTCCCACATATTGACACCTGGGTGTCTTTGTTGCCTTTCCAAGCAACTTGATTGCGCAAGTTCAGCTGACTCAGGCATGCAATCACACCGCCAAGGTGGTCAGTCAGTTCTTGACCACAACCGGTTCCTTAAGATCATTCGCGCACTCTCCGGCAGAAAGGCTTTTTGCCTTCCTCACGCGCTGTGCTTGGGTTCAATCCCCAGGCACAACGCTAGGCGGATATGTTGGCCCAGGACCCCACCCCTGCAGTTAACTAGAGTGTGTACTGTAAACTGTAAAACAGGGCTTTGTGCAGTTGGTGGTCGATTTTAATGGAGTTACCACGTTCACGCAGTCAAGCCCAAGCAACTAGGCGCCTGCCGTTGGTGCTCCGGATGTGTTCGCGAATTTAGTGTTAAGGCCGCGCTGTTGATCGAGGTCCTTGCCGGGGTTCGCGGCCAGTTCGCGGCTAGATTGCTTCGTTTTGATTGCGCAGGATCGCGGAAACTGGTGGTCTGGAGCGAACAAAGTCGTATTCAGAAACTGCATTGCGTTAGAATTCAGAACCAGTCTTCAGAAATTATCTCGTTGTATTCAGAAACTGTGGGATTCAGAAACTGATTCGTTGTATTCAGTAACTAACTATTTTCGTTGTATTCGGAAACTATTTTCGGTGTATTCAGACCCTATTGTTGTCGTATTCAGAAACTATGTTCTTTGTATCCTTAAAAAAAGTAACTTTGGTGGGTACTTGCGTGGACAGTTGTCTAGGATGAAGCGGTGGGGTGGGGGGGCAGGGGCAATAAACTTATAGAATATACGCGGGTAGTTTCGTGGAAAGTTGATGCGTTCTCCAGTTTCCACACGCAAGTGTTTTGTTCCCGAATATATACACCTGTCCAGCTTCCGAATACCAGTTTCCGAATATCGGGTAGTCTCCGAGAAGCTTCGAGTTTCAATACAACCGTCCAGTTTCCGAATACCACTGTCCCAGTTTCCGAACACAACCGTTTAGTTTCTGAATACAACCGTTCAGTTTCCGAATGCCAGTTTCCGAATACCACGCTGTAGCTTCCGAATACCAGTTTCCGAATACAATCATTTAGTTTCCGAATGCAGTCGTTTAGTTTCCGAATACAACCGTTATAGTTTAGTTTCCGAGTGCAACCATGACCGTCTGGAGGCGCTTTTCTCGACTGTGCTCTCATTGCGTTGCCGTGCGTAAATTTTCGATCTTGGCGGTGACTTTTTGTGGGAGGCGCAAGGCGCAAGGGAAACCTAGTGTTTTGGTAGCCCAAAGTCGGCTTTTCGTGGTGGGAGCAGGAGATTGGAGTGGTTCTATTTCGATGTGCAGATATCGTGGCAGGCGCAGCGCTTTGGACATGGCGGTGGCGCGCTCTGATTTCGTGGCCGGTGCATTTGGGCATGTGGCTCACTTTCAGAAACCGGGGGAAGTATCGAGCGAAAGCTGTGTTTTGGTATCTTGATGTTGTCTATGGCCTGCGGACATGGAAACACCGGAGATGCCAACCGGTTGCTGGGATATTTATCAATATATATGCTACGAAAGCCAGCCGATAGGCCAGGCTTGAGTTTTAGTGCGAACGAAGTGAGTTGAGGGGTGTTGAGGGGGGAGGGTGTTGAGAGGGACATTTTGAGAGGGTGAACCCGGAGCTTGGTGGGGGAGAGCCCTCCAAAGCGAGGGTCAGAAAAGCAGTGAAAAATGGGGTCTGGTGATGCGAGTGATGCAATGGACGCCGAGTAGTGCATCATTAGCGTCGTGAAGGGCTTTGGAGGCTATTTGGACAATGGGCATTGAGCAATCGAGTGGAGACAGGGACCCACGTACAGGGCAGACCGCAGCCGCATGTAGGATACGAGCTCCCAGGACAACCCGTAACTCGCGAAATCCATAGAGAACCGAAAGTGACATGAGCTCAAGCCTTTGAATTTGGATTGAGTTTCGGTGGGACGCCTGCGAAGTTGACTACATATCCGCATAGGGCTCCTGCCCCTAGCAAAAAGCGGCGTCCACACGCACCGAACGTGCAGATAGATAGATAGATAGATAAATTCTATATACTACTGACTCATGATGTCGCCTTTTTGCTGGCAGTCCTGGCCGAATCCAGTCAGCCTGGGTCCAAGGCCCAAAGATCTACACACGCAGGTGCCAAAGTCAAGGCCTCTGAGTGAGAAAGGCGCAGAGTTGATAAGAAAGTGAAGAATAAATAATGTGTTTGGGTCGTTTAATAAAGGCCCCTTTAAAGGAAAAAGATTGTGTTTTGGATCGAGCCAGACCATGACTCACTCAAGTCCAGACATGTGCGTCGATAGGCGCACAAATCCTCACTCCTTTGCTAGCCCAAGCTACTCGCGCTGGACCTCCCCTTCTGCGCCGCGGGATCGAACGTCCGTGTCCCGGCTAAGACGTGCCCGCTCACTCTTCCAAATCAAAAAATGCCGCTTTTTCGACGTGCCGCAGTACGCATTGCAAACTTCAAACACTCAATATGCAACCAACGCATAATTGCTTCTTTTCAATCGCATGCCGTACTCGCGCGCGTGCGCGCGCGGCGATGCTGACTATG